GTAAGGGGTGGGGTCTGAGGAGCATGCAGAGCTGCAGAGGGGTGGACAGCAGGGCTGAGCAGAGGGTGAGCTCTGTACCAGCCCCTCTCACACAGTATTTCCCAGAGCCCCTCGGCAACATGAAAGGAAGGAACGGCTAGTTTAGAATTTTTGGTAATACTTTTTTTTTCCCCCAGCTTCATGCTAGGAGTCAAGCCGTTCAGGAACAAAGTGGGAGGGGGAGGGTCCCAGATCAGAGCTGATATGGCAGGGACAGGTGGAAACGTGTTGGAGGAAGGTCACTCTGTAGGGGTGCTCTGAGCCACAGCTGGGGTGCACCCTTGAGATGTGAGCATGAGCAAACCCTGCCTTAACCCCCCTCCTCCCTCCCGGGCCCAGGTGGGTAGGACCAGACCAGACATTTGCACAGGGGATCTGACCTTGGCTTCTGTTTTTCCCTAGAGGATATGACATCCTGGCAAATTGACTCCAATGGGGGAGACCACTGGAGGGTGGAGAGCCTCCCTGGAGATCATGGGACAGATTTTCCGGACTCCAAAGTCAAGAAGTACTTTGTCACATCTTTTGAGTAAGATAAACAACCGAGCCGGTGGTTTTGAGGGGGAGGGAGGATCAGGACTCCTTTTGCCAAATCTCAGGCCTAAGTGAGGGCCTCCCTGTGCAGCTGGAGGAAGGTGGTTCCCAGACGGGTTCAGAGTCTCTGCTTTCCTAGAGCAGGAGTACTCAGTGGCCAGGATTAATAGCAGTGGGGGGGGGGGGGGGAGAGTAATATGAAGGCGCTGGGAGCCACTGGGTGATTAGGGTAAGTCAGAGGTGTCTGTAGCTTCCTCATCTAGGAACAGGAATTCACGGAGGTGCCCTCGTCGGGGCCCTTGAACTAGGATCACGTGCCATGTAGGCACAAGTGGGTCAGACCCCTGCGTGATTCTCATAGGCCAGCGCCAGCCAGAGGCAGCGGTCCTGCAGCAGTCAGGGGACACTGCTGGGTCCTGGCCATGCAAAGCACACCCGGGAATGTAAGCTTTTCCTTTTGCTCCACAGGATGTGCCTCAAGTCCCAGCTGGTGGACCTCAAAGCTGAGGGCTACTGGGAGGAGCTACTAGACACATTCAGGCCTGAAATCGAGGTTAAGGACTGGTGAGTGGGGCTCGGGCCATGCTCTGCATCCTTCCCTCCTCTCTTCCTGAGGACACCTATAGGCAGTGCCCACTCTGTGCCCGGTGGTGTCCTAGGGCAGAGGCTGCTCCAGGAGCCGGTACTTGCTCATTCCGCACCTCGTGGCCTTTCTGCCACCCTGCATCAGCAAATGCTATTTTCCAGTTTACAGATGGGCAGACTGAGGCCTAGAGATAAGTTGTCACAAACAGGTACTAGAGCAACAGAGGGAGCAGGACCCAGCCTCCCTGGACCTCGCTCCCATGCCTTCTGCCCATCTGCCTCCCCTAGTCCCTTCACTGTGCATCCCTCAGCTCTTTCCCAGGCTCCTGTTCTATGCCCAGAGCTGTGCAAGGCCTCAGGGCCACCACTCTTAAGGGTAAGGGGTGGGGTCTGAGGAGCATGCAGAGCTGCAGAGGGGTGGACAGCAGGGCTGAGCAGAGGGTGAGCTCTGTACCAGCCCCTCTCACACAGGCCACCCCCTGAATCTCCCACTGAATCCCCAGTCAGATCCATTATAACATACAAGTGGCACAGCTCCCACAGCCTAGGCTTTTATCTCTGTGGAGCACCTTTTGCTTTGTTAAGGAGACGTCTTCACTGGACACCCAAAAGGGTTGCCACTTTGCTCTGATGTGGCCCTGCACAGAGACTGCTCACCCCAGGGGCACAGCTGGGCCTCAGGGGCAGAGCAGGGAAATCCAACTCAGAGCTCCAGAGCTCCAGTCTATGGGTCTGCTGCCTGCCCTCCTCCAGGGTCACCTTCTGTCCAGGGGTGTACAGTCCTGAGCCCCACCCTCCTCCAGGTTCGCTGCCAGAGCAGACTGTGGCTGTACCTACCACATCCGAGTCCAGCTGGTCTCAGACAACTACATCGTCCTGGCCTCCTTCGAGCCCCCGCCCGTGACCATCAATCAGTGGAACAATGCCGAGTGGACAGAGGTGAGGCCTCACCTGCTTGCCCCTCACCACCCACTTCCCGGAGCCCCTGCCTTCCAGCCTGCGTGGCTTTCCCTTGCAGGACCTGGCGTTTCCCCTTTCCCCTCTCCAGTGGAGTGACCACCCATCTTGTCCCCTCCCCAGTCCTTGTGATCACTTCTTCCTCTCCCGTCTTCCCAGGTCTCCCACACTTTCTCGGATTACCCGTCAGGGGTCCGCCACATCCTCTTCCAGCATGGGGGCAAGGACACCCAGTTCTGGGCAGGCTGGTACGGGCCCCGCATCACCAACAGCAGCATCATTATCAGCCCTAAGATGACCAGGGACCCGGCCCCCTCCACAACTCAGCCTGAGACCATGCGGGGGCAGGAGAAGGCTGCCCGCCTGCCCTCCTCACTTCGTCTCCACAGGCCCTTGTGACAGTCTGTCATCTGCTGGCCATTCATCCGTCCTCTGTCTGGGCCAGTCGACTTCCAAAGGTCCCCTCCAGCTGAGCCTGTAGTGGGCAGTGAGGGCCCTTGCCCCGGGAGCTCCTGCCCCAGTTCCAACCTTGGGCAAACCCACCAGTTTGTGGTAACTCCCTGTCATATGCTCTGACATTTTGTGACAATAAATGTTTTCAGTAAAACCAGCCTGGGGTTGGGTCTAGTGGTGGGGGCCCTTGGCACTTTGGCATCGAAGCAGCCCCTCCTCCCAGGTTAATTTGGCTGTTCCTGTTCCTCCCACTCCAGTTAGTGACAGCCCAGCTCAGCCCTTGGGGCCCTTTATTGAAACAAGTCACAGCACAGTATTTGAGACAAACAGTGTTGGCCAGCCAAATCCCAGGAGGCGGAGATAAGAAATCAAGGTCCAAGCATCCTTCCCTGCCCTCCTGGGGAGAGTTTCTCCATGAAGGCAACCAGACCTGAGCAGTGCCGTGCGGGAGGGTGGGTGGTCCATACACAGAGGCAATAAGAGCACTTGGAATCAGGGTGGCCCTACAGCACTGCCCGAGGCTGGGGGCCCCCAATGTCCAACAGTTGTAGCATCCATGGTGGCGGCAGGCACACCCTCAGCTGCTTTTATGAGCTCGCTCTTCCACGTAGAGCTGCATCTGGTAGGCCGAATACATAGCCAAGGTCAGGAGGACAGCCAGGGCACCTCCTCAGGAGGGTCCACAAGCCCCTGGCAGACAGATCTCTGCCAAAAGTTGGGGTTGTGCAGTCACCGGTTAAGAGAAAGGGAGTTTGGAGCCTTATACCAGGTATTCCCTGGTCATCTCCTCCAAGCCTTGAGCCATACATAAGCCTCTGGCAAGGCCTCAGCATACCTTCAGTAAAGCCTACCAGGTCCCCATGCAGCTCACCTTTAAAATGTCTGACGTCATCGTTTTTAGTGGTATCAGCCGGGGGTCGTGCATGTGGACATCCTGCTCATCTGCCAGGATCCAGGGAAAGTCCTAGGGAGGGGACCAAGGGAAGGGGGTGGAAGGGTGCTAGACCGTGGCCTGCCCTCACTTTGCTATCCCCTCCCCTCTCCAGAGCTGGGGTCCTCAGACTTTGGGGAGCAGCAGAATCACTAGGGAACTGCCAGCATGACAGATGCCCAGGTTCTTCCTCCTGAGAGTCCGAGTCTACAGATCCGAGCTGGGCTGGGAACCCAAGTGATTTAACCAGGTCCAAGCACCAATTCTGAAACTGGTGGGCAAAGAAACCCCGCCCCCGCCCCCCTCCTGAGAACAGCCGCTAAGCTGGCAGCCCCAGGACGAGGCTCCACCCTCCTCTCCGTGCTGAGTGTCCAGGTGGGCCAATGACAAGCACGTGGCCACACAGTTAACACACGACAAAAAGCCACTCGATGCCAGGCACTGCCATAAGCAAGGTAATGAGTACACTGTCAGCGACAGCCCTGCCTACTCTGGTTTTCAGAGCCGCCCAGCCGTTGTCTCCCTGCCCAGCTTCCCTGACCAGTCTCATCTCACCTTGATGACCTGAATCTTCTCCATATTGCGAGTGGCAGCTTCCCTCGTGTGCACTAAGACTGTGAAGGTACAGCCTGAAGAGGCAAGAGTTTGGTCAGGGCCGGGCCACCTCACACCTGCCACTGGGCGTAGCCTTTTCCCACCTCCCGGGCTGGCTCGGCAGCCCCCCAGAGGAGAAGAGTGGAAACCAAGTGCCAGGACAAGACATGGTCAGTAGGGAGACTGAAGCCAGGTGGAAATCAGGGTAGCTTCCGGAGGAGGTGAACTTTCAGAGAGGTTCTAAAAGGCAGGAAGAGAGGCGGTTTGCTGCAGCCAAGTAGGGCCCTGAGAACGCACACCAAGCCAAGGGAGCTGTGGACATGCCCGAGGACAAGGGCGTGGGGGTGAGCACACCTGGGGGGTTGTGGTCCAGGACGGCATCACATACACTGATCTTCAGGATGAAGGCTCGGAGCAGCTGCTCCACATGAGACAGCAGGGAATCTGAGCTGGGAGGAGAAAAGGAGGGTCTCCCATCACACTGGCGCCCCCTCCCACCAGCAGGCAGTCAACCCTGGAAGCAGACCTGGGGGTCCAGAGCCCCTCTCTGCTTCTGAGTGTGTTGGCTTCCAAGCGCTTGGCTACCTATCTTGTCTACACAGTTAAAATCATCTGGAGAGGGGCGCCTGGGTGGCTCAGTCATTGAGTGTCTGCCTTCGGCTCGGGTCATGATCCCAGGCTCCTGGGATCGGGCCCCGCGTGGGGCTCCCTGATCATCGGGAAGCCTGCTTCTCCCTCTCCCACTCCCCCTGCTTGTATTCCTTCTCTCGCTGTGTCTCTCTGTCAAACAAATAAATGAATAAATCTTTAAAAAATAGTAAAAAAAAATAAATCATCTGGAGAGTTGAAAACCAATGTCAAGTCCCATCCCAAACTAAGTCCAAATGGGCCATAGGGAGCCCCCAGAGGTCCTTCTAATATGCAGCCCAGGCTGAGAACAAGGACACAGCCCAAGCCTCTTCATACCCCAGGACACCACGCCAGGAAGGGACAGGGCTTGCCCGAGGCTACATAGCAAGTGGAGAAAGATTCCAGTGCCCTGACCAGCCAATACCCTTGCCCAAGGTCAGCTTCTGGTTGCCTATGGACTGGACGTTTGGGAAGGCAGAAAACTGGGTCTATGTCCTGGCTCTGCCACCATTTGGGTGACCCTGGGTAGCTCATATCATCTCTCTGGTCCTTGGTTTCTCCATCTATAAAATGAGGTTAGGACTAGCCGTTTAGCAACCCTATGATTTTCCAAGTGTGGACATCACAGAGGTTACAAGGAGAGCACTGGGTGGCCAGCCGTGGCTCAGCTGCTAACAGGCCTTGTTAGGATGGCATGCCTTGCCGTTCTCTTTACCAAGCTTCCTGGAGGAGGTGGACTTTCAGAGGGGCTCTGAAAGGCAGGAGAGGCAGCTTGGTGCAGCCAAGGAGGGACCTGAGAATGCAGACCAAGCCAAGGTATTCAGGGGCTGCCCTAAAGGGGTGAGCGTGAGGGCTGTTTCTAGGGACCTCACACCAACCAGCCAGAAGACCAGGGAGAGGCAGCTTACCTGATGGATAGCAACGGAGGCTGGGTGATTTCAAAGACGAATTTCTCCACTGGGCGGTGCTCTTTGTCCAAAATTACCACCACCACTTTCTCCACATCATTCTGCAAGGACAGAACAGGGTAACCCATCCACCACTACCACCTCCCTGCCCAAGGAAGGATGGGAAGGGCACACTCACAGCCCCACTCAGCTTCAAGGCTGAGGGTCCCTGAGAGCCCAGAAGGAGATTTGAGAAGTTCAAGTAGGCACCCCCTGGCATGAGTGGTACAGACTGAGAGGGGAGAGGACACCTGGCCCCACAGGGGTCTATCTCAGAGAGCAGGACAAAACAGAAGGAGGAAATTCTGAGGGGCCAAGCCCAGACAGAAACTGGGGATGGGGAGAGAAACAGATGTGGGGAAAAACCCAGAACCCTCTGGGGCAGGCCCCACTCAGCCATACCTTCAGTATGGCTGAAGGCCATACTAACCAGGGCTCCCAGGCGCAGCACACACTGACTGTGGCTCCCGTGCCCTGAGGTCTGTCCCTGGGCAGGGGTGGTCTCCAGGATATGGGACACAGGCTTTTGGGTGTAGAGTCATGGGGACCCCGCACAGTCCCAGCATCACCCCATCCCGGAGCACTGGAGGAGCAGACTGCGGGGGGGAGGTGGGCTGGGGGACTTGGTGCCCTCACCTTCTCCAGGAGTGGCTTGACACAGTGCAAGGTGTCCTGGATATACTGGTTCAGCTCCGGGTGGCAGGACATCTGCACACAACCCCAAGATGGCTCGTAAGGCCCGAAGCACCAACGGGGAAACCACCCGACACCCCTCCAGGAGCCCAGAGAGGAAGGCCAGCAGTTCCCTAGGGCTCCCCACCCAGGACACTGACTTCCTATCATGGGGCTAAGAACTGGAATTATCCAGAGAGAGGAAGAAGTTAGAAGATAAGAATTTAGTCTCAACATTAGCACTTAATATAGCATTGGGGGTTTCTAATGTGGGGTCCGTGGCTCCTCCAGAAGCTGAGAAGTCCCTAAATTGTGTGCATTTGGGCATGCAGGCATTTTTCCCAGAGAAGGGATCCAAAAATTTAATCAATTTTTTAAAAAACTGAGAATCTGGAACTAAGAGCTACGTGGCCTCAGGTAACTCACTTAACTTCTCTGAGCTTTACGTACTTCATCTGTGGAAGATCTCGTAAAGACAAAGTGAGGAGTGAGAGAAGCACCCAGTACACAGCAGGCGCTCAGTAAATGCTATTCTGTTTTCCTTTTCCTTGTATATCCTTCAAGCTTCCACCACTTTCCAGTATTGGATAATTCGTTTATTCTAATGTTTACTGAGTGCCTTCTAAGGGGCCGGCACTTCTAGAGAGTGGGGACAGGGGAACATATATTTACTGCTCTGTCTGCCTTTTGACCTAAGACAACCCATTACAATGAGGGCAGAGAGAAGGTACCTGAGGTTTATAGGAATCACCTCCTCAAAGCAACCATTCACTAGCCTCAGGAGCTCTTTTAAATACAACCATGCCCCAGGGGCAACTCTGATCCCAGGGCCTGGTCCCTAACTTGGGGCAAAGGAACTCGAGTTCAGAGGGGACAGAAAACTGCAGTAGGGGTGGGAGGCTGTCAGGCTGTCAGCTGCGGCTGGGAACTGGAAGGCAAGGCCAGGCCGCTGCGGGGGAGAGGGGCTGAGCCTGCAAGTGGAGGACGGTTCAAAAATCCACCCTCTACCCTCCTTGAGGTTCGGGGGTGACCCAATGGCCCCAGCCCAGATGTGGGGGGCTCACCTGGACAGGCACGTTGTACTTCTTACGCTTCTGGAAGATGCCCACCGGGTAGACCTCGCGCACGTAGAGGATGAGATGCACGGCCACCTCCAGGAACTCGCATAGCACGTCGGCCACCACTGCGAGGGGACAGAAACCGGTGAGCTCGGAAAGCCCGTCGGCCCAGGCCCTCCCTCGCCCCCGACCCCGGGTCCACAGGCTCCGCCTTCCTACCTTGACCAAAGTTGAGGTCCTGGCGCGTGAGTGTGGTCATCCTTACCGCCACCTGGGGGATGGGGCAGG